TATCAGATTTGTTACAAAATAAAAAAAAAATCATGCGTAAAACTAAAAAAAAAAGGAAGAATCTTACCGAGTCAGTTAGCCAACACTTTGATGTCCATAAAATTTGAAACCAATGTTTTGAATAATGGTGTCAACTTTAAAATCAAAAGGAGGCTTTATCATAAATGCATCGCTGGCCAGTCCCCACGCTTTTCTTGAGATCATATTACTCTTATACCATGATAGGAATCTTTCCTTGTCCTCCTTTGATGCATCATTGTCAACAATTTCAGAGAATGGACAAAAACATAAAAATCGTTCATCTATACATTTAATAGGTTCTTGTGATGTTGCTGCCTCATCATACAAAATAATCCTTTGATCAGAACATTTATCGCCTTCCTGGGCAGCTTCATGAACAAGATCCCTCAAAACTGAAGCAATTGTATCTTCAATTTTTTCAGAAGAAACATCCACTTTGTCATCTTCTTTCTCTGCAACTGCTTCTTCAATTACTTTTTCCTTTATTTCTTCAACTTCTTCCTTTTTTTCTTCAAATGCTTGTTTTTCCTCTGTTTGCTTGTTCTTCTTAGAAGAAAACACATTGTCAAACTTTTCACCAATCAACTGAACCGCATAAAAAATTTGTTCTTTGAAATCTCTTCGAAGGGAAGAAACTTCAACAACCAAACTATCAGTTTTGGCCTCCAAGGAAGCAATGCGCGCCAAAACTTCAGAATTATCAAAAGCACCCTAAAAAATGCAAAAGATAACAAAATGAAAAAAGTCAAATCACAATGACAAACACAACACATCAAGCTATGGAACATAACCAATCAAGTTACGTGAAAAACCTGTCAATTTATGGACAAAAACTCTTATTTATGGATAATAACTCGTCAAGTTATGGTTCATAACCAGACAAGTTATGGACAATAACGGTGAATTATGGACAAAAAAACTCTGAATTATGGACAATAACTTGTCAAGTTATGGTTCATAACCAGACAAGTTAATGGACCATAACCTGACACGTTATGGAGGATAACATGTCGAAACAAAACCTGATTTTCACATAACTTGATTTTTAGAAAACAACCTTACAGTTCCAATTGTAAATTGAAAAATGAACAAAAACAAAACTAACAAACCTGATTTTTTGGAGGAGGGATAAATGGAGGAGGGACAGTTTCAAAATCTTTATCATCCTCCTTCAAATCACAGCTACTAGAAGCCAGAACATCCTTTGTCGACTTCTGAAAAAAACCGTCAAGATAATTGTAGAGACGCTCTGATTCAATTGGTTCCATTGAAAAACAAGAGAACTGAAAATAAAAAATAAAAACATTAAAACAAAAAATAAGCAACAGATATTAATAAAAACATTAAAACATGAAAATTTTCTATAAAAAAACTACCAAAACAGAAGTCTAACCTGGCCAATTTTGCTGTTCAACACATCAAATGGCTTCTTCGAATAATTTTCATCCGTTGACCATTTGAAAATTCGGGGAATAGGCTCATCAATTAACTTTTTCAGTGCACAAATACCACCAAGGTGTGGTAGACATTCATAAGCCCAAACTTGAAAAGCAAAGGCCAAACCGTTGATCTTATATCCATCTACGCGTCTCTTCTTATTTCGAAATAGAACCTTATCATCGTGCTTGTACAAAGTCTCAATACTAGATTTCAGACTTGCAAAAAGTAAATTAAAAGACAATCTACCCCAAGAAAAATCGTTAAAGTTAGGGCTATCAACAATTCTAATCAAATCATCAACAACCCCCACGTCCTTGGGCTTAGCTAAAAGAAAAAGTGACACAAAATATAACAAACCCATTTTGACAGCTTCATCATCACTATCAAAATGAACAGACTCAAAACAGTTCTTAATAGTAGCCCTCTTTACAAGCCTTGTACAATGATCCTTGAAATATTTGGTACGTCTAGAAAAATCAGATGAATTTACATAACTTGAGAAGTTTACATGTCCTGAGCACTTTAAACCAGAAATTAATGCAAACTCCTCAACTATTAACTTAGTAAAAGAATCACAAAACTTGAACCATAGCTCATTTGTATTTAGATTGTGAACCACATGAAACAGTAACTCGTGTATCAGCTGACACTGGTTACTGTACTTTACCAAATCCAAAAACCGACCAAAAATTGTTCTTCTGAATAAATCTTTCTGACTTTCAGAAAACTTTTTGTTTAATTCCTCTATAACAGCAAAAGAGGATGTTATATTAACCTGGCCTCGAAATCTCTTGTCAGGATTAATACGATACTTCCAAGACTGTAAAATGAAAAAAAAAACGAAGAAAAACAATATGAGGATAAACCTAAAAATACACGATCAAAAAAAAAAAAAAATTCCATATCCTAAATTCGAAAATCTATAAACTAAGTTGAAAAAATTAATCAAAATACCTCCAAAGTGTTACGAGTGGGAGAAGGACGAGCAACTTCTTCGGAACTTTTTTTCTCCATACCAATTTTCTTGTTCACAACCTTCGAGCGTTTACTCAGAGTAGAAACAGAAACATTGTCCTTCCTCTTGCTTTGTGTTTTTGCCATATCTTAAACAATAATATATAGAATCACAAAATCAGAGCAAGAAAAAAAGAACCAAAGGAACGCAAAAAAAAAAAAAAAAAAACTCATACCAAAAAAAAAATGTCAGAGAATGCACACTGTCAGCGATGATAGAGAGAGTTGCAGAGCTAGGAGAAAAAAATCGCAGTAGACGGACGGAGGGAAGAAAGACAGATCGCCGAAGAAGAACGAAAACAAAAACCTAAAAAATCGCAGGAGATCACCGGTGGAAAGAAAAAATTGTCTTAGAGAGAGAAAACATAGAGCACAAGTTATGCACAACAACCGAGTAAAAAAATCTGAGATACGGTTTTTAAAATATAACCGAATAAAAAATCTGTAAATTATGGACCATAACCTGTCAAGTTATGGTCCATAACTTTACAAGTTATGTGCAAAAACAGAGTAAAAAAAATCTAAGATACGGTTTTTAAAATATAACCGAATAAAAAATCTGTAAATTATGGACCATAACCTGTCAAGTTATGGTCCATAACTTTACAAGTTATGTGCAAAAACAGAGTAAAAAAAATCTAAGATACGGTTTTTAAAATATAACCGAATAAAAAATCTGTAAATTATGGACCATAACCTGTCAAGTTATGGTCCATAACTTTACAAGTTATGTGCAAAAACAGAGTAAAAAAAATCTAAGATACGGTTTTTAAAATATAACCGAATAAAAAATCTGTAAATTATGGACCATAGCCTGTCAACTTATGGTCTATAACTTGACAAGTTATGCACAAAAACCGAGTAAAAGAAATCTGGGATACGGTTTTTAAAATATAACTAAATAAAATATGTAAATTATGGACCATAACCTGTCAAGTAATGCTCCATAACAGCACAAGTTATGGTCAATAACTTAACAAGTTATGCACAAAAACCTATCAAATTGACAATAATCCATAAATCACAGTTTTTTTAACTATTAAATGCAAGGATTTCTTTTATTATTAAAAAATTTGAATATTTTCCTTCAAATCATTCAATTCCAACTTATAACATAAAGACAAAAAATCAACTTAGACCATGATGATCAGTTCATATCAACAAATGTGGGGTTTGAACAAGTCCTCCTATTGTGGCCAACTTGCTTGCATCGACTACACTTCACAGATTGCTTCTCTCGTTCTCCACTAGAAATAATTCTTTGCTTCCTTGGTCTCCCAGCACCACGTTTAAACTTAGGAGGAAGAACAACCTCCACCTCACTGCCCTCTGAAAATTGCCACTTTGATCTATTAGTAATAAGATAGATTGCAGCATCATATGTTGCTTTGAATGCATTGTTGGTGTAATAGTAGGAAGTAAAATGTGTTGGATCAAGATTTCTTTTCCAAATCGATGCAATAGCGTGTGGACATGGAAATTCATCAGCTTGCCAAACAAGACAACTACATGTTCTTGCCACCAAGTCAACCATCTCACCAACTAAACCATCAACAACATAATACTTATTGATATCAATGGGTTGAACCTGAAAACATGACAAAAATAAAAGAAAACAGAGCATTCAAAAAACAATAGAATAACTTCAAAAAAAAAAAGGACCAAAAGAATCACACAAAAAATCACATAAAAAAAATAACCAAAATAATGAAACAAAAAAAAAGTAAATAATTGAAAGAAAAGCAACTTACAGATAAGCAACGTGCAATCTTTTCCCTATCACGAAGGCGTTTAGTTGCATGTTTACTCAAGTATGTAAAAGTCTTATCCGCCTTATTTCGACGCTCATAAAACCATCTTTGCAAGAGGGATCTGAAATGCTCAATTAAAGCTTCAACAAGATACTCCCTAGCATTCATTAAGACATTATTCAACGACTCGGAGATATTAGTCGTCATGACATCATATCTCTTCCTCTCAAAGTGAGCACATGCCCACTTTTCAACCCCTACTTGTAGCAAATAATTTTGAATAGCTGGTCGAACTGCCTCCAATTGACGCATGAAGTAACCAAAGTCTTCCTTACGGTATGCCTTGGCACAACGATAGAATATAGCATCCACATGCACACCTTTAAAATTTGAATTCAAATTTCTAAGTAAATGCTGCATACAAAATCCATGAGATGCATCTGGAAATACCTTCTCAACTGCTTTAGGGATACTACTCTTTCGGTCAGAAACAATAACAAGCACTTCACGAGTTCCGATGGCCTCCTTAAGCCTTTCAAAAAACCATTCCCACGAGGAGTCATTCTCCGAATCAACAATTGCAAAACCAAGCAGAAAAATATGATTATCAGCATCTAAAACTGCAGAGAGAAGCAAGGTCCCAGAAAACTCATTCTTCAAAAAAGTGCCATCAACTGAGATCACAGGCCTACAATGGCGCCAACCATGAATAGAAGCCCCCATGCACAAAAAAAAATACTTGAACCGCCCATCATTGTCAAGATCATAAGAAGTCACAGATCCCACAAAAAAAAAAATAAAATAAAAACGTTTAAAATAACTATTAGTCACGGAGAAATTAAACTCTTGTCAGTGAATTAAACATTTAAAATAACCCACGTTACATATAAATGTTATGTAACTAATAACTATATCATGCATAAACTGTACAAATAGACAAAACCATAAGCATAACACATAAAAATAAAAATCATTAGGATTACTCTCCTTGAAAATATTGCACAGAAAAGGAATGGATGCATACGACTCCATTGCACTTCCTCTCATTGATGCTAACGCATATCGGCGAGCCATTCGCGTTTTGTAGTAACTAATCTCAACACCATGCTTACCATGCATTATATACCTCAAATCATTAGGACGCAAACGGTCTGCATGCCCAATGCTAAAATCGCCCTTTAAAAACTCTGAAACAATACGACTATTTGCTTGACGATGCTCAGCACTAGCAACATCAAGTGAACAAGTATGTTCCTTAATATACTTCTTCACTGCCCAAACATTACCATTTGAAACCTTAGCAGCACGCATCTTCCAAGTACAACTCTTATTTTTACAAACCAAAACATAAAATGAATTATTAGATCTTTCAGATTTAAATTCAAAATGCCTCCTAATAGCAATTACATGCATGAATTTCTTGAGAACCGACTTGCTCATGAATTGATTGCCTACATTCACATCAAACGACATAGGTAACTTTGAAATATCCAAATCTTCAATCAAAAAATTATTCATCGCAACATCAATATCATCTTCAAATTGACAAATGGAACCATCAACATTAGAAGATGACGCCTCATCTCTTGAACTCATAAAATAAGATGAAGAAGAAATAGATCCCACTGCACTAACGGAGCTACTAACAAAATCTATTACCAACGGGTATCCAAGAGCTTCCTTGCTGTGTCAAACTAAGTTTAAAAACAATTTAACATCATCATCCCTCTTTAGGTCTCAGAAACCAGATCAATTAGGTCTGGACTTCCTTCCCACAAAAAGTAATAAAGAATGAACACCAGCATTAAAACCAAACAACTCAAGATTCAGCTCCTCACATAAACACTCTTGTAAAAACTTCAAAGAAGCATCCTCTGGAATAAAAACTGATTGAAAATCAAAATTTGTATATTAGTTTTCTAGACTCCATTTTCCCCTATAAGCAACAATGACTGAAATAGATTGCATGCCTACAAACATATTGCAGGAACACTGTCACGTTAAAGTGTATAACCGGACAAGTTATATAAAAAAACCTCTCAATTATGGACCATAACTCGTCTAGTTATGTTCCATAACTGCACAAGTTATAACAAAAACTGTCATGACTGAAACAAATTGAAAACAAACCAAAAAATGCAAAACGAAGAATCGACCGGAAAACGAAATTACAACAAAAACGAAATTACAAAAAAAAAAATAGAAACGAAGAATGCCCAAACATGTTCTTCCGTAGAAATCGACCGGAAAACAGCAAAAAAAAAAAAGGATTAACGCACAAAAGAAAGAAAACAAACCGAAAAAATGCAAAATATGAAAACGAAAATACAAAAAAAAAAAAAAAACTAGAACCTGGTAAAGCACCGGAACAGCTGCTCAAATCCAAACGAGAACAAGAACTACCGACTGACCAACCTGTTGATCCACCGACGATTCACCGACGAGCAAATGGAAAATCGATGATCCACCGACGATCCACCAACGAGAGACAAAATCTGAGCGCAGTTACGAGAGAGAGAGAGAGATCTGCAACAGAGAGAGAGAGAGAGAGAGAGAGAGAGAAAGATAGAGACGATCGAAAGAAACAAAGGAAAAAAAAGGGTAAATTTGGAAATTTAAAAATTATGGCCTAATAATTTTCAAAACTAAAAATTGGCCTATATGCTTCCTTAAGGTTTTAAAATTGGCCTATTCTCTACTATTTCCCTAAAATAAAAGGATAATTCTCATGTATGGATATGAAGAGAAATACCCTTTTAGTAAAGTTTTATTTTAAATTATTAAGGGCCTATTTGGTACACATATTAACACATAATTTTAATTTTGTTATAGTTTCTTCTTTCACAAAGAATTTGAATAAAAAAATTGATAAATTAGAATTTGAATATAAATTAGAATCATTGACTTGAACGCGTGAATCAAATGGACTCTAGATTTATTATTAGATAAGACTTAAGATTAAAAGAAAGATAATAAATGAAAGGACTTTGTAACTAGTTCTTCGGCAAGAGAAAAAAAATAATTGACCAAAATTTTAAATTCTTCAAAACTTTAATTTTAATCTCTGCCGATACGTATATAAATTAGAAAAGAGAATCCATAAAATACACAATAAGATAATGTAAGAATATAAAAAGAAAGGTCCTCAACTTTCCTCTCTATTTTCTTGATATAGTTTATGTATCTTTACTAAGGGTTACAACTTATAATCAGCAAGAATACCCCATTCGTTATGGTTGATACAATAAAACCGCATGAAACAATAGATAGCATAGCAAATATCGACAGACTTCTTTCTTTCAAATACTTGACGAAACTCGTGGCCTTTGTTGAAATAGAGATCAGAATATTGAGAAAACAATGGCTTTGCTTTCCATTGATTAAGAAAGAATATTTATACACAAAATTGGACATTGCCGAGAGTTACCCAAAACACAAAAATAGGAAACTATCCTAGAATCAGGGAATTGCAACTAATTACAAGGATATTACACTAATTACAGGAATTTACAATATAGAGAAAATCTTTAGTAATTAATTCTCTAATATGCCCCCTCAAGATGGAGCTCCAAAGGAGAGGCCAATCTTGACTCTTAGGTCTTGGAAGCGGCTTCGTGGAAGAGGTTTGGTAAGAGCATCGGCAAGTTGATCTGCTGAGGAAACATGAGTAACACGAAGAGCACCTGATTGAACTTGATCCCAAATAAAGTGATAGTCAATTGCCACATGTTTCATGCGCGAATGAAAGACTGGATTAGAACAGAGATAGGTGGCACCAACATTGTCACAATAGATAACAGGCGGTGTAGGAAGAGTGACGCCAAGCTCTGTGAGAAGGGAACAAAGCCAATTGATTTCTGAAGTAGTGGCAGCAACTGATCGATACTCAGCTTCTGTGGATGACCGAGCAACCGTACGTTGTTTCTTGGATGACCAAGAAATAAGATGACGACCAAGATAGACAACATAGGCACTCGTAGAGGTATAGTCGTCTTTGTTGCCAGCCCAATCTGCATCTGAGAAGGCATGAAGAGAGAGTGAATTTTCCTTATGAAGAAATAATCCATGAGTCAATGTGCCACACAGATATCGAAGCAGTCATTTTGCAGCATTCCAATGTTCAGACGTCGGACGGTGCATGAATTGAGAAAGCTTGTTAACAGCATATGCTATGTCTGGGCGAGTCAGGCAAAGATACTGTAGACTGCCAATAATTGTTCTATATTCTGTGTAGTCAATCAGAGTTGTACCTGATTGAAGTGTGAGATTTCCATCTGTAATAAGTGGTGTAGCAACGGGTTTTGCACCAACCATTTTTGTCCGGGAAAGAAGATCAGTGATGTATCACTTTTGAGTGAGTAATAGACCAGATGGAGTGGTGAGAACCTCAATGCCGAGAAAAAAAGACAAGGCACCAAGATCCTTGAGTGAAAATCGTTGTGCCAGGAGGTCAATGTAGCGCTGAATAATATCGGTGTTGGTACCTGTGATAATAATGTCATCCACATAAACAAGTAGATATATAGTAATGTCACTGGAGTGGAGAATGAATAGAGAAGTGTCTGCATGAGAGTTTGTGAACCCAGACTCAATGAGGAACTGGCGAAGTTCACGATACCAAGCCCGTGGAGCCTGCTTGAGTCCATATATAGCCTTCTTTAATTTGCATACATGTGTTGGATTGTCTCTATCAACAAATCCCGGAGGCTGGGCCATGTAGACATCTTCGGAAAAATGGCCTTGAAGGAAGGCATTATTAACATCCAACTGTCGCAACTGCCAACCTCTACTGACTGCCAGGCTTAGAACGAGGCATATTGTTGTTGGCTTGACAACTGGACTAAAGGTATCATGATAATCCACTCCAGGTCGCTGATGAAAACCTTTGGCAACTAATCTGGCCTTGTACCTGTCAACAGAACCATCAGGAAGTCATTTAATACGAAAAACCCACTTACATCCAACAAGATTCTGCAGAGAGGTAGATGGAACAAGCTCCCAAGTTCCATTCCGAACAAGAGCATCAAATTCATCATTCATAGCTAGTCTCCATTTGGGATCTTTTAGGGCTTGGTTAACAGTATGAGGCTCAATGTCTGATGGTTGAGAAAGGATAGCAGTGAGATTCATCTTGGTTAGGGGTTTGTGGATGTTGTTTTTCGCTCTAGTGGTCATGGGATGGGTATTTTGATGAGTGAGATGGGCAATGGTTGAAGCAGAAGAGGTCTCAGAGTGGTATGGTTCTGGCACTAAACGGTTGACCATGGTTTCTGGGCAGCCAACCGAATTGTGTCTGAGTAAAGGTAGGTCTGTGGACAGAGGTTGACAGTCGACTGGTGAGGAGGGTCGGTCGACCGTTTGGGCATTTTGTGACGGATGTTGACACGAGGAATCCCTTTGTGGAGGTGTATTGAGTGAACCACTTGAAATGGGTAGAGTTTGGACTGGGGGAAGCCATTTGGAAGTGATGTCTGGGGTGGGTCGAGATAGATGGGATTGGTGAGTGGTAAAGGGAAAGGAGTTTTCAAGAAATTTGACATGACGAGAAATAAATGTTTTAGAACTGGACAGATCAAGATAGATATAGGCACTTTGTGTTGAAGAGTAACCAAGAAAAACACAAGGAGTGGAACGGGAGTCAAGTTTATGTTGAGAATAAGGACGAAGCCACGGATAACATAAGCAACCGAACACCCGAAGTTTAGTGTAGTTGGGTTGAGACTCAAAGAGTTTTTCAAAAGGGGATGAAAGATGTAGTGTGGGTGTAGGCATACGGTTGATAAGATATACAGCAGTGGCAAAGGCATAAGTCTAATAGGTTAGAGGCATCGATGCATGAGTGAGAAGGGATAGACCGGTTTCAACAATATGGCGATGACAATTTGGTGATATTGGAGAGATTGATTGTAAGGAAGGGATGTTGAGGATCCTAAGAGTTTTGGATGGTGAGAGGATCGTTGGTGGAAGAGTGGGTCGTATCAGAAGCCATTGAAGAGACTGATGGCGTGGTTTGGTCGTTGGTGGAAAGAGGGTTCGCTTCAGAAGCCATTGAGGAGACTGGTGGTTTTGCTGGAAAAAAAAAATACGCCCAAGAGGATTAGGCTCTTGATACCATGTTGAAATAGAGATCAGAATATTGAGAAAACAATGGCTTTGCTTTCCATTGATTAAGAAAGAATATTTATACACAAAATTGGACATTGCCGAGAGTTACCCAAAACACAAAAATAGGAAACTATCCTAGAATCAGGGAATTGCAACTAATTACAAGGATATTACACTAATTACAGGAATTTACAATATAGAGAAAATCTTTAGTGACGGTGAAAGGATGGATTCCTTTAGTAAGATATGTTTGGAAGATTCTTTTTGGAAGGAGATACGTACTCTCTTCATAGCTTTTGCACTGAAACTTTTCACAACCATTGAAACATTTCACTTATAAATATAGATATATATATATATATGACATTCTTTAATATGCTAATATATTAATAGGTCAAGTTTTTTATTTGTTAGATATGTATAAAATAACGTAAAAATAAAAAAATACGCATATCAAATAGTTAAAATGTAATGACCGAGAAAATTATGTA